CCGGTCCCGCCGGTCATTAAGACGAGGGGAGGAGTGAGGGGGGATGCTCGTCGGCCACCTTCGCCCCCTTACTCTACAGCCGTATTACCCCCGACCGGCGCGGCGTGTCCTTGGGGCAGCATCGCCCTTCGTGCGATGAATACTGGATCCATAGATCGTGGCGCTGGACACGGACGCGCGGCCAGCGGCCTCCACTGTAGGACCGGCCAGGGGCGAACGAGAAAGGAGGAGGAGGAGGAGAGGGGTTGGGGACCTTTGCAACAGATTCGACCAACCCCGATGCCTAGTTAAGTTTGCAAAAGAATGCTTTGGCAACTAGAAAAATGTGTTGTGCTCGCAATCAATCGAATGAACTTGAAGCTGTTACTTAATGTGTATGATTAGTTGCTACTTCAAACTTTTTAAATTACAGTTTTACCTGTAAAACGTGAATTTTTGTAGTTGAATAGGTCTGTCGAATTTTGTTATACTTTTAGATTTCCATTGTACATGATTTTGAACAAGTTCCGTTTTAATAACGAAACCTCGTCTTTAATAGTCAATTCTTTTTATTCTTCCTCTACTCTCTTTCACCGAACCTCGCCCCGAAGAAACAGGAATACACACAGTTATTATATACATTACGAAACGGAAGGTATGTTTTAAGATTCTTTAGCAGCAAATACTTTGGGGGGGACCTAACCTGACAAGGACGCATGCGCGCACAACAACTAATAAGTAGTTTGGTAACCCCTGACACTGGTTAGTTAGGCTAACCATCATGCATTACAGTTTATACACTCTCTCTTGTAGCCTATACCCTCTCGATGGCAAGGTACAAGGCACTCATGACCTATGTAGTTACTTAATCCTGCACTAGTGATATCGGATTTCATAAGTTTATTCACAGGCACTTGTAGCCTACCCTCCAGGTAGCAGGCACTCATGACCTATGTAGCTAATCAATCAAGCACTAGTAGTATCGGATTTCTTTTCACACAAGTGCTAGACGCACACAACACTACTTCAACTTTAAGTTTGAAGTTTGACTTATTTTTCGTAAAGTGTTCTATAAAATCATGTCGTCCACCTGTAAGTTGATATCTGAAATATGATTAAATCTTGGAGCCCTTGGAACAGAAGAATGAAAAAATATTTCTGTCCGCCTCATTTTTATTAAACCTCCGATCCTATAAAGAACAAGTAAATTTTCAATGTAGGAATTTCATATGTTTGTTGACCTGTTAGCTTGCCTGGGCCCGAGAATGTTATTGTGATCGCTGTAATGCTTCTCGAGAGGCGACTCCCGAGGCATAGGTCAGTTCCAGAGGCAGGCCGTCTAGACGCGGCCGCTGCCCTTTCGCCGGACAACCTGGCCAGGGGATATCTGCGTTGCACGGAGTACCCCCGCCCGAGAGGCAGCGCCACCTAGTGGCTCCTGTGAAAGGACCCGCTTGCAAGAGCCCGTCGATACTCTGGACCGGTGTGTAGCGGCGGGCGAAGCCACATGGTGTGAATTTCAGTGCTCTCTCTCTCTCTCTCTCTCTCTCTCTCTCTCTCTCTCTCTCTCTCTCTCTC